TGTATGAGAAGATGATCACTTGGTGATCGAAACACGTGTCGAGGTGTTGAAATAACGGTTTGGTGTTGGGAAAAAACTCCAGTAATATTCATAATAGTTGTTTTATATGTAATTGATTTTGAACTTATTCAGTTATTTTCGGTTACAGCTACCTCTTGAAGAAACTTCCAGTCTACTTCCAGTTATGGTCTATATCTATGGTGGAATAGGACAAAGTGGCGAACCTACCGAATATAATTTTGATTTGTTCCTGGAACAAGATATTGTTGTTGTTACTCTCAATTTTCGTTCAGGAGCTCTTGGTATGTAATTGTTCGTAACTGTTAACAATGTCACTTTAATGAAATGTATAAACACTTTTGTCTTATTTCCACTAGTTATTTTATTTGTACGACCGGTTTCGGGTTTTAGCCCATTATCAAGTATAAAACTGACATGTGAAATCTGAAAACTAGGTTATATAGGCAATTTTCAGGTAAGCTAGAAGGCGAGGCAGTTAAATGAACAAGGTTGCCAACTATGAAATTCAACACTGAAGATTATAAGGGTTGCCAAACTCATAAATTCAGGAGTGGCTTTCAACAAATTCCTTTTCTTCCCTTTATTGCATATGTATAGGATTTTGAGGTTATCTTTACTCACCTTGTGTTACGATTCTTGTAGATGTTCATGCATTGAGAATATTTCGTTCAAACAGACCTGTTCACGGAGCCTTACTTCAAAATTCCAACCGGTTTGGCCGGCTTTGGCTTATCTAAAAACTCCCTCTACAGGGTGTAACATAAGTACGTTGAAATATACAAGTGACGTATTCCTGAGACAATTTTAGGGAAAAAAGTCTATATGAAATTGTGTCCGAAAATGCTTCGTTTTGGAAATACGGGGTGTGGAAATTGAATTTTTTTGTTCGCTTTTTGAAAATAACTCTTGCAAAAATTAAGTTATTCGCACGAAATTCGGTACCTGAGGTTTTCTTGACGTGAGAAATCATAATTTCGTATTAATTTCCATGTAACATCTAGAGGGCGCTGCGTACGCTGTCATTGTTTATTTCAAGTTGCCCTAACTTTTTTGACAGTAAACTTTTGGTACTTTTCATGAAAAAACCTAATTTCCACACCTTTTCCAAGTAAAAAAGATACACGTCTTCAACAACGCTGGAGGTGATCGTTTTCGAGATATTTACAATTTTCTATAACGATGCATATTACTAGCTCCTAAGGCGCTAAGTGAAGTTGCTGAGAACATTACAAAAACTAAGTATGTGGTGGATCTTATCAAAATAATCAATTTCTTCCTATAAAATGTTTAACGAAGAATGATTTGTTTTCGAAATACAGATTGTTGAAATTTTTCAAAACATGGTAGGTTTCTGTTATAGGTTTTTTGCAATTTCAGTTATTTTTATCAAACTTTATACGCAGTATACTCGTACAGACTTCTTCTAAACTAAGCATTATCGAACTGCTTATTCAATCCAAATCAAAAAAAATTGTCAGGTTTAATTACTCAATTAGAAAGTGCTACATTTCGGAGTTTGTAGAAAACAATTCGGAGAAGTACTATGTTATTTATTAGGGAAATAAACAAATAAAAATTGAACGAAACAACTATTACAACAACTGTTCAAAGTGACGACCCCCAACAGTAATACAAGCTTCTGCTCTCCTCATCAAAGAATTCCTCATCCGTTGAAAAATGCCCGGAGTGTTTCTTATCGTTTCGCAGCAAGCTATGATGCGATCCCTCAACATTTCCTAGTTTTCAATGGGACTAGCATAAACTAGTGATTTCAGGAGTCCCCAATAGAAAACATCGATTTCGGAGACCAATGGGAACATCTTCCATAAGTTGGGGAAGCTCGTGTTTCAAAAAACGTATGTAAGCATCTCCATTCAAACGTAAGGGGAAAAATAGGGCCCAATCAAATAATCCTCAATTATGCCTATCCATACATTGAAAGAGAATCTGTCTTGGAAATGAGTTTGCGTTATCGTATGTGGGTTATCTTCCGCCCAGATGTGGTTATTATGGTTCATGATACCAGTTCTTGAAAAATTAGCCTCATTTGTGAAGAGGATTTTCGCATCAAATTTTCGATAAAATTTGCGGATGTTGTTCGACTTTTCTTTGAAGCCATTGAGCAAATTCGATATGTGGTTGGAAATTACGTAGCGTAAGTGCCTGGACACGCTGAATATGATAAGGATATAATTGCTGTTCTTTCAAAATTCTGTAAACTGTCATGTGACTCACAACTTCATATAAGTGAAATTCATTTCCTTATACATGGATTTGGGCCATTTGGATATGCATTTGATTAGTATCTCGTCTACAGGCAGAGGGGCAAGAACAGGTATGTTGTTTGTCATTCCTTCAGCTTTGTTAGAAGTATGACACTCTGGTAGGATATTACCTTGCACTGACGAGAAGCCAAATAGCCCGAAACCGATCTGCAATCCCGTCTATGAAGAATCATGTTCTGACACCTGTTGCTCTTCACGATATCAGCCAGGAAAGCAGTTGTTTTCTGAAGGGTGTCGGTCCATGAACCCGCTGTCTAGGTTAGATTAGGTTAGGTCCAGAGTGAGTGGGTCTATTAGACCCTCTATCGCAACACGCAAGGGTTTATTGTGGCTCATAACTATTTACCCTCAACCAAATGCACCCAGCTTCTCAACGAAGCCCATCAGTTTGTATGGTGAGTGATCTTTCAGATCAAATGCCAAACTCTAATTTGATTTGGTCCCCAGCGTGACAGGCACAAAGTATGTGCTCTGCTGTTTCATCATTTTCCAAACAGAAGCGACACACACTGTCTTCTGACAGTCCGAGTCTCTGCATATGATGATTCAAATGACAGTAACCTGTGAGAAGGCCTTTCAGACATCTTAGTTCAACCCTACTGTAGTCCAACAACTGTTTGGTATCAAGCTTCGAAGAGAGAACAAACGCCTTGGAGTGAGCCAATACTGCCAGAAGTCTATAAATCTTCTTGCTATCCAGATGTTCAATCATTGTTTGGAGTAATTATACTGCAGGAATTCCAGCCCAAAATCCCATGTTTTTTCTTATGACGCTTCATTCCAGTTCTTTTTGGACCTCAGGCCAACTTCACACATCTTCGCTCAGGCCCTCTTGCGACTCTGCCTCACCCTTCGGCCGCCTTGTCAGGTTCCAGTCACGTGATTTTAATTAAAAATAGTTTATAGTTATGAGATTCGAACCCAAGACGTCCGCGTGGTAGACATTGTCCTTAGCCTCTACACCAATGTAAGACATTGAAAGTAACTGCGAATGATGGGTATTTATAGCGTTAGTTTTGTCGGGACCGAAATTGACTCATTGACTTGACCGCATTTATTTATTTCTGTAGAATGTTCGGGAAGTTGTAATCGTCATTATTATATTGGAAATAGGAAAATATACTTAGATTTGGGAAATAATTAATATTTCATGTAAAGATGTGTATGTATGTGTAAGAGCGAGAGACGCGAATGACGCGAGTGACGTAATCGATGCAAAGAGAGATGGAGATGGTATCGAGATTTCCCGGTTGCTGGCGCAAGCAGGTGTTGCCGGTTGTACAATAAATTGTTGTTTATGGGGCAATGTAGCGTTGCCGGTTTTGAAATTAATCGTGAACAACTTGATAAAAATTGGAAGCGCGAAAGTGATATATTAATAATAATGAATCAGGCTGTATCGTTTCAAAGTGCGATCCCTCAATGTTACAAGGTATCTCAGAATACATAATTGAAAACAAACATGGCGTCGGAGTGTACAGGGTGCGTCAAAATACATCATTTAAGAAAAAAAACATAACAGTTTTACGAGACTGTAAATTTTCATTGTGCGAACCCTCAATGTGTACGAAGTATCTCAAAATACATCATTGAAAACAAATATTTCGTCGAAGTGTACAGGTTGCGTCAAAGTATATCATGTAACGAAAAAACATGTCGGTTTGAAACATGATATCAATGTGTATACAGGGCGTTTCAAAATACATCATTTAAGAAAAAAACATGTCGGTTCAACAGAAGTCTAGCGTTCCAACATGTCAGAAGGACAATAAGTCTCGTATCTTTGTTAACCAAGTTAGCATCATCAGGAGAAGAAGAAAATGGTACCAAAGGTGTCGAGGAGTTGAGTATTGTGGAGATAACATCCGAAAATGAGGAAAGCGACCGTTTTACAAACGTTTCGACTGTTTTGCGTGCCACCGTTTTGCGTGCGACCGTTTTGCGTGCGTTTTCGACCGTTTTCGATCGTTTGCGTGCGTTTTCGATCGTTTTTCGTGCATTTCATCATCATTTAGCGCGTTCCGCTAACCAAGTAAGCATCATCAGGAAATGACGTCAAGTCCATGCTTTGTGATATGAAGATTCATTTTGCGAATTTTCAGACTCTTGGACGGAACCTTGTGGAATACTCAACCTAATTTCTGTTACAGAGTAGTGTCGGTCAGCTAATCAGAATGGAGAAATCAAATATCGCTCGATCGATTGTGTTAGATGAAATGGAACTGGAGAATGTGGGTCGAATAATAATAATAATAAACATTAAAACCTTGAAAGTAACGTAGTCAGCGTGGGAGGTGGTAGCGTGTGTGAGGGTTTGTGGAAATTAATGAGTTATTACAAAAAATAATAGCGCAACTGTCAGAAGGGCACTAAGTTGTATATTCACTAATAATGATCGAATTGTCGCGTACAACACGTCAAATGAAAGGATAAGAAATGCAGAATTCATCGACAAAGAAAAAGCAAAGATGACGTAACATGTCAGAAAGGCACCAAGTCAAATCTTTGTTAACGATAGTTGAATCTCAACGTGCAGCACATCAAATGAAAGGGAAACGAATACAGAGGGTACCGACAGAAAAAAACAAAGATGGCGTAACGAATATAATATCCAACGC